GCGGCCGGGCGGGGACCGTGACGCGCGCCCATTGACGTCTCCGGAATCCCGGCGGCAGCGGCCGACGCAGCCTCATCAATGGGCTAAAAATAGCGGCACCCAGAATAGCCGCGAGCGCCCCGCCCCGCGTCCCCCCCTCGACAAACTCCAGCCGCAAACCCTGTTACATAACGCGCCCCGGCGCGGCCTGGGTGGGGTTGCTGTTCACAGGTGAGCCCCCTCGGGCCCTCCTGGGCACCTCCCCGCAGCCGACTCATAAATAAACCTACCCTGCCCTACCCGGGGCTTCCCCTGAGCACGAGGTGGAAAAAGTGATGCCCAGAGAGGCTCAGCTGCGACCCAAAGTCACACAGCAATTAGGCTTCTTGGGAGGTCAGAACCCCAGCCTGCCTCTGAGCCTGTGGGCACCCCCAAGGTGGCATAAGTCTCTCGGCCTGTGTAACAACACTCCAGGGGCAAGGTAACAATGCATCGGGTTTCCATAGAAGAAAGCTTACAAAGAGGACTTCCTTCAAGGGTGAAATTTCTCCTGGAAAAAGCACTTTTTGAGGCAGGAGTGCAGGGAGGGGGCCACTCACCAGATCACACATTCACTGACTGCTCTCATAGGCCTGTGTGACCTACAGCAAGTCACCTAACCTTTCTGAGCCTCAGCTTACTTTCCAGTAAAGTAAGGGAAATAGTCTTAACTTTTGTGGGGACCAGACCTGAGCTCTGGAGGAGCCTAGTATACAGTAGGCACTCAGACTTCTTTTTAAAATCCTGTACTTCCCCGGACTTTGCAGTCCACAGACTGCTCAATGCAGGAAGAACTCAGTGGCTGCCATCTCCCTTGATCTCAGTTGCTAAGCATGGTCCTCCCAGCAAGATCCTTGGGACCTTGGGACAGGGGGATGAGGAAGGACCATCCTGTCCCTAGAAAGCCCCTCTCCCCAGCAGCTGCCCCCTTCAACACGCTGCACAAAAAGCACAGGATCAAGAAGGCCTGGCCAAGGATGGAGCAGTGGTCAGGCTAGGTTGGTTTCCTTCTCTGCCCCTGCCATGCTAGACCGGGGGTTTGGGAAGATTCCATTGTGGGTGAGCACACACACACAATGTGGGAGGATCCTGTCCTGTGTCTGCCACACCAGGGGTCGGTTCAGTCATCAGGACCCACACAGCCAAGAATCTCTTCCACATTCAGAGCTTTCTGAAGGAGGCCTGGCTCTCCAGAGAGCAAATTCCAGGGGCCACATTCCTCTCCCACCCCCAGAAATCCTTCTCTGGACCTGCGTGGTAATCCTCCTGACTCAGCTTCTCTAGTGCCTGAGATATGAAACTGTCTCCCCCTTAGGCAAATGATATCTTTTTAAAATTATGTTTTCTGGGGACTGGAGAGATGGCTCAGTGGAAGAGCACTGACTAGTTTTGCAGAAGACCTAGGTTTGATTCCCAACACCCACATAGCAGCTAACAGTCTGTAACCAGTTCCAGTGGATCCGTTGCCCTCTTCTGACTTCCATGGGCATTGCATAACAAGGGTGCACTTAAATACAGGCAATACACTCACACACATAAAATAAAAATAACAAAATATAGGACTGGAGAGACGGCTCAGTGGTTAAGAACACTGGTTGTTCTTGTAGAAGACCTGGGTTCAAATCCTAGCACCCACATGGCAGCTAACAACTGTCCTTAACTCCAGTCCCAAAGGATCCGACAACCTCTTCTGACATGGGTGCACTTACCTACATGCAGGCAATACATGCATAAACATAAAATAAAAATAATAGTTTTTTTTAAGTTTAAAGAAAGAAAAGGAAGGAGGGAAGGAAAAGAAACCAAGCCGACAGCAGCCAGGGGTCAGGGAGTCTAGGGCTGACTTCTGCCAGTAGCTCCCATCCAATAGACTTTGGGAAGAAGGCACTGCCCCACTCCCTCTTTTTATTTTTCCATAAGGCATTTTGAAAATACATTCTAAAATATTTGCCTGTGTAGGAGAAATACATTTAGACAGGAAAAAAAAAAAAAGACTGCTAGCAGTTTTTCCGTGGAGGCTTCCAGCCCACAGAGGTCTCTCCTTTCCATAAATACTTTTAGCCCAGCCTGCCTCGATTATATACTCTATTTATAATAAAATAAAGCAGATACTAAAATATGAAATGCTAACACACACTCTTGGCTGGCTTGAGGAGGCAGGATGAGATGGTGGAGGGGCTCTGATGCAAGTGGCCTGTGATCGATACTGATCATCTAGAGATCTGAGCAGCTGTGGGGCGCCCTGGGCACAGAAGGCACCCAGACTTTAGTGCTCCTTGTTCTTCCCAAGAAGTCAGAGTCTCTGGCCCACCAGCTTCCAACTCTAACCAGCTTGGCCACTCTGGGCTTCCATTTTCTCCTTGGAGACACAAGCAAGTTAACATACTGCAGGGGCTGGACTGATGGCTCAGCAGTTAAGAGCGCTGGCTGCACCCAAAGGGCAGATAACAACCATCCTTAACTCCAGTTCCAGGGGATCCGACGCCCTCCTCTGGCCTCTGTGGGCATTGCATGCATAGGTAAACTTACCTATATACATGCAGGCAAAACACTCATACACATAAAATAAAAATAACATACCTGTCTCATAGCATTGTCATTGATGACGGTGACTTTCATAGCAGACATCAAGCTTGTAGCATGGACGGTGGCATGCAGAGGCAGATCTGCCATTTCCATTTAGAACTTGAGGGAGAGCCAGGGGCTGGGATCCTTGTCAAGCTGTCCCCGCAAAGTGTTTAGCCTAGCTTTGCCCAGCTGGTGTTTATTTGGTGGCTTAGGCGGGGGAGCGGCACAGATAGGGCAATGTGACCTCTCAGTGTCATAACAGATAGCCCTACTGTGATCTCCTTGACTGGGCTTCCTCAGCTAGCCAGTGGCTAAGCAGCCCACACCCTGGTTTTCTGACTCCCAGGAGACACTGTCTACCCACCATGACATTCCTTCATCTTCATCCTTGGTGTCAACTTTGTGCCCAAATCTGAGTACCACTTCCCAGCCTCTCCTGTGTATGGGAGAACTGGAGGGGGCAGCAGGTGGGTCACTCAAGTATTTGTATAGCTTGATTTCTAGGAGCAAGTGGGAACAAACACAGTTGCCAGTACTGACCCAGATTCTGGAAAGTTCCTGACAGGAATACAAACCTCTACAGTAGAAAACTGATTCTAGTATGGTGGGGAGGCAGAACACAGAATAGTCATGAGGCCTCCAGCTGTCATGGGGTGTGGGGAGGGGGGTGAGGAAGAGGGTGGAGTGGAATTGAGGATTAATCCCAATGGCCATCCTGGAGGAAGAGGATGTGGAGTACAGTGTGTGAGAGACAAGCCCAGGCATAAAGGGAGAAGGACACCCCACAGAGGAGAGGCTGCCCCAAATCTCCTAGGTATGGGACAGGGATAAGGCAGAAGTCCCAAGGGTGGGAAAAAGTAAGCCACCATGAGCTGCAGGGCCCAAGAGGATCAGTCACATTCAGTGGCCTGGATTCAGCTGCCTGTAGCCTGACAGCCCCCATTCCACCTCACTTCCTCCCTGCCTCCTGGGGTGGGAGGATGTCTAGGGGGTTCCCTAGCCTGTCTGGGCCTAGAAGGGACTCCCCTATTCAGACCTGGCACAGAATCAGGGGCTGGGGAGGGGATTCCCTTTATCGATCCCTTCCTCAACCAGAAGCTCAAGAACCACTTGACTGGGGGTCCCCCCCCCACCTCTCCCCAGATTTAAGAACAAATAAATTCAAGGGAGAAAAATGGGGTCACCAAGACAGAGCTTCCTAAGGCTCAAGGAGGCCACTGGACTGTGGGACGAGCACCCTCTCCCAGGCACTTTACCAAATGTTTCCATATTTGCTAACCTGGTTGCCACCAAGGACCCATCAGGCCGGGACCGAGAAAGTGACCTAGGTCACCAGGCCGGAATAGGGGAATTGATGCAAAATTTCCCCCAAATCAAAGCCAGGGCTCTTGATTAAAAACACATCAAAACCCTATGTAACTTCAGAGTTACAAAATCGAACTTCCTCCTTGTAAACAAAAGCAGAGGTTGCAGAGTTGCGTGGCCGATTTAGTGCGAAGCCCATGCATTCCCCGAGGAGCAGAAGCGCGTGTTATCCTCCGGGGTCGGCTTTCCGAGGCGGGATCTGGCCTGGGACCCTCCCGGAGGGTCTCGTCATTGCAACACAGGGCTGGAAGGAACGCGGCAGGCACCCGCGCAGCGCAGGACCCCGATCGGCCGTGCCCCTGCCTCGCTCCCGGGGCGACCCCGCTGCGAGCGCCGTGCCAGGCCGGGTGCGCCGGGTGCGGCTGGGGAAGCCGCTACGTCACCACGCGGTCCGCAGGGAGCCGCGGCTCCAGCCAGGATTCCATTACATCACCGGGGCCGCGGGGCCGCGGTCGGCACACACTGCTGCAAGCTATTGGCTGCCGTGCCGCCCTCCTAGCCAATAGCACGAACGTATGCAAATCGTCGCTGAGCCAACGCTTCCTTTGGATCTGATGTATGCAAATAGACGTCATTGCTCCAGTGGGGGCAGCCCAGCTGGGACACCCGGGTGTGAGCGGGTCTGGAAATTTGTAGAGGGGAGAGGGGCTGGTTTGGAGACTTGGCACCCAATCCCGAGGGGGCATGGAGTGTGATTAAAGGTGAGTGCCTCCAATTCTTGGGCTCTTTCCCCTTAGACCCATACATAATAGGCAGTACTGCAAAAATTAACTGCTGATGGCACACGCCTGTGATCTCAGCACTTGAGAGATGGAAGCGAGAGGCTCGGGAGTTCAAAGCCGTCATCGGCGAGTTCAAGGCCAACCTAGTTACATGAAATCCTGCCTCTATTTTTGTTTCCTTGTTTTGTTTTGTTTGTTGGCTTTTGTTTTTTGAGACAGGGTCTCCCTGTGGCCCCAAATGGCCTGGAACTCTCTATGTAGACCTGACTGGCCTTGATTTCACAGAGATCTGCCTGCCTCTGCCTCCCGAGGCTTGAGGTTAACGCCTGGACCACCACGTCCAGCTTCTTTAGGCAAAACAACAACAAATCAAGTCAACTTGTAGGCTGGGGAAGGGGGAAGGTGGGAGGGGTGGAAATAAGAGATGATGAGGTACAGGAAAGCTGGAGCGCCTTTTGGAGAACACCCAGGTCAAACCCTCCTCAAGGAGACACAGGAAAGAAAGTGGACACCTCTCCGCCCCAGAGGTAGTGACAACTCAGTTAGGAAGCCTGATGTCAGACAGTTTTGCAAGTAAATAGTAAGTGCCATTTTGTCCATCAGGCTGCTCCAGAGAAAAAGAAGTCAGCCTTCCACAGTCTTACCTTCAGTGGGGTGGATTCAGACTGCTATGGAAAAACAAAACAAACAAAACTGTGGCCATACTGAACATATAACGGAGATTTTTTTTCCGTCACTATTCCCTAAACAATTCAGTATAACAATGATTTAAATAGTGTTTACATCACACTAGTTATTATCTGCATTGCAGAGATTTAAAGTATTCACTTGCAATCCCAGCACTCAGGAGGCTCAGGCATGAGGATCTTGAGTTCAAGGCCAGCCTGGACTATGTAGTAAAACTGTCCTAGAAGGTAAATAAACAAATTATAGGGAAGGATGTGTGTATGTTATGTGAAAATACCATGCCATTTTGTATAAGGGACTTGAACTCCTCAGATCTGGCATCCTGAGGAGTCCTGGGCCATATCCCCATTGGATAGCAAAGATGACTGTATATGGACATAAAGATGTTTGTCATAAGGGATGACTCAGGAGATTAGAGGGCCAAGAAGGCCCACAATCTACTGTATGCAACAGGAGGTCCAGGGAAGTCACAGGTACAGTTCCCATGTGAGTCTGAAGGACCAGGAGCTCCAGTGTGGAATATGAATGTCCCAGCTCAAGAGAAGAGTGAATTTGTGTTTCTTGCACACTCTTGCTCTGTTTAGGCTCTCTGTGGATCAACTGACTCTTATGTGCTTGGTAAGGGCAATCTTTTTAAGTTTTTATTATTATAGTGTATGTATAGGTGATGTGTATGTGAGTATATATGTGTGCATGCCCATTACACATGTGGAGGTCAGAGGACAGCTTTCAGGAGTTATCGTCTCATCCATCTTTTTGCCATCCATCTTCTTTTTTTAATGTGCATGAGTGTTTTGCTTGCATGTATGTAAATGCCCCACATGCAGTACATCCATAGAAGGCAGAGGCTAGGTCCCTTGTTAGCTGCTGAGTGGGTGCTAGGAGCGGAACCTGGGTCCTCTGCAAGAACAGCAAGTGCTCTTAACCGCTGAGCCATTTCTTCAGCCCCCTCCATCCATCTTCTTGAGATAGGATCTCTTCTTGCTTCTGCCACTGCACAGCATACTCTAGGAGAGCTAACCAGAGAGTTTAAGGCTGATTCTCCCGTCTCCAGCTCCCATCTTACTGTAGGAATCCTGGGATTATAGATATGTACCACCTCATCCATCTTTTTACGTGGGTTCTGGGGCTCAAACTTAGATGTCAAACTTGCAAAGTAGGCATTTTTACCAGCTGAACCATCTCACTGGCCCAGTGAGAGCAATCCTGATTCAGTCTCTCTATTCAAATGCTATTCCCTTCCAGAGTCATCCTCATACACACCCAGAAATAACATTCCACTAGCTATCTGGCCATGCCTTAGCTTAGTCAAGCTGGCACATTAAAATTAACCATCTCACCCGGTGTGGTGGCCCGCAGCCCTTGGGAGGCAGAGACAGGCTGGTCCCTGTGAGTCTGAGGTCAATCTGGTCTACATACTGAGTTCCAGGCCAGCTGGGGCTACAGGGTGACCCTTTCTCAAAAAGATAAAAAAAAAAAAAAAAGAAACCATCTCAACAGAAAGAAAAAAATAAACCACAGGAGGCAAATGACCAATTTAATAAGAAGTTGAAATTAAAAAGGGATGGGGGGGGGGGAGGGG